CAGGTGGACCTAACAGACATCTACAGAACTCTACACCCAAAAGCAGCAGGATACACACTCTTCTAGAGTGCACATGGAACATTTACCAGAATAGACCACATACTAGGCCAAAAAAAGACTGAAATTCTACCAACCAATTTCTCAGACCACAAAGGTATAAAACTAGAAATAAATTAAACAAAGAAAACAAAAGGCTCACAAACATGGAAGCTTAACAACATGCTCCTAAATAATCAATGGATTAATGACCAAATTAAAACAGAGATCAAGCAATATATAGAGACAAATAAAATAACGCCACAATGCCCCAACTTCTGTGGGACACAGTGAAGGCAGTTCTAAGGGGAAAGTATACAGCAATCCAGGCCTATTTAAAACAGGAAGAACAATCCCAAATGAGTAGTCAAAATTCACAATTATTGAAAATGGAAAAAGAAGAACAAATGAGGCCCAAAGTCAGGAGAAGTGGGGACATAATAAAGATCAGAGAATAATGAAATCAAGAGCTGGTTTTTTTCAGAAAATAAACAAAATAGATAAACCCCTAGCCAGACTGATTAAGAGAAAAAGAGAATCTACACACATAAACAGAATCAGAAATGAGAAAGGAAAAATCACTAAGGACACCACAGAAATACAAAGAATTGTTAGAGAATACTATGAAAATCTATATGCTAACAAACTGGATGACCTAGAAGAACTGGACAACTATCTAGAAAAATACAACCTTCTAAGGCTGACAAAAGGAGAAACAGAAAATCTGAATAGACGAATTTACCAGCAATAAAATTGAACTGGTAATCAAAAACCTACCTAAGAACAAAATCCCTGGACCAGATGGCTTCACCACTGAATATTATCAAACACTTAGTGAAGACCTAATACCCATCCATTCTCCTTAAAGTTTTCCAAAAAATAGAAGAGAAGGGAATACTTCCAAACTCATTCTATGAGGCCAGCATCACTCTAATACCAAAACCAGGTAAAGACACCACAAAAAAAGAAAACTACAGACCAATATCCCTGATGAACAAAGATGCAAAAATACTCAACAAAATATTAGCAAACCGAATTCAAAAATACATCAAGAGGATCATACACCATGATTAAGTGGGATTCATCCCAGGGATGCAAGGATGGTACAACATTCGAAAATCCATCAACATCATCCACCACAGCAACAAAAAGAAGGAAAAAAACCACATGATCATCTCCACAGATGCTGAAAAAGCATTCGACAAAATTCAACATCCATTCATGATAAAAACTCTTATCAAAATGGGCACAGAGTTCAAGTACCTCAACATAATAAAGATCATATATGACAAACCCACAGCCAACATCATACTGAACAGGGAGAAGCTGAAAGCTTTTCCCTCAAGATCGGGAACAAGGCAAGAATGCCCACTCTTCCCGCTTTTATTCAACATAGTACTGGAGGTCCTAGCCATGGCAATCAGACAACACAAAGAAATAAAAGGCGTCCAGATTTGTAAGGAAGAAGGAAGAAGTCAAACCATCACTGTTTGCAGATGACATGATATTGTACATAAAAAAAACCATAAAGAATCCACTCCAAAACTACTAGATCTAATATCTGAATTCAGCAAAGTTGAGGGATACAAAATTAATACACAGAAATCTACTTCATTCCTATACACTAACAATGAACAAGCACAAAGAGAAATCAGGAAAACAATTCCATTCACAATTGCATCAAAAAGAATAAATACTTAGGAATAAACCTAACCAAGGAAGTGAAAGACCTATACACTGAAAACTGCAAGATACTCTTAAGAGAAATTAAAGAGGACACTAAAAAATGGAAATTTATCCCATGCTCTTGGCTAGAAAGAATTAATACTGTCAAAATGGCCATCCTGCCTAAAGCAATCTACATATTCAATGCAATTCCTATCAAAATACCAACAGCATTCTTCAATGAATTAGAGCAAATAGTTCTAAAATTCATATGGAATGACAAAAGACCCCAAATAGCCAAAGCAATCCTGAGAAGGAAGAATAAAGCTGGAGGGATTATGCTCCTCAACTTCAAGCTCTACTACAAAGCCACAGTAATCAAGACAATTTGGTACTGGCACAAGAACAGAACCATAGACCTATGGAACAGACTAGAGAGCCCAGATATAAACCCAAGCATATATGGTCAATTAGTATTCAATAAAGGAGCCATGGACATACCATGGGAAAATGACAGCCTCTTCAAAAACTGCTCTTGGCAAAACTGGACAGCTACATGCAAGAGAATGTAACTAGCTTATTGTTTAACCCCATACACAAAAGTAAGCTAGAAATGGGTCAAAGACCTGAATGTAAGTCATGAAACCATAAAACTCTTAGAAGACAACATAGGCAAAAATCTCCTGAATATAAACATGAGCAACTTCTTCCTGAACGCATCTCCTCGAGCAAGGGAAACAAAAGCAAAAATGAACACATGGACTACATCAAATTAAAAAGCTTCTGTATGGGAAATGACACCATCAAAAGAACAAAAAGGCATCCTAAAGTATGGAAGAATATATTTGTAAGCAACATATCTGACAAGTGGTTAACATCCGAAATATATAAAGAACTCACATGCCTCAACATCCAAAAAGCAAAAAACCCAATTAAAAAATGGGCAGAGTATATGAAGAGACAGTTCTCCAAAGAAGAAATTCAGATGGCCAACAGACACATAAAAAGATGCTCCACATCGCTAATCATAAGGAAAATGCAAATTAAAACCACAATGAGATATCACCTCACACCAGTAAGGATGGCCAGTATCGAAAAGACTAAAAACAACAAATGCTGGTGAGGATGCAGAGAAAGAGGAATCCTCCTACACTGCTGGTGGGAATGTAAGCTAGTTCAACCACTGTGGAAAGCAGTATGGAGGTTTCTCAAAAAAACTAGAAATAGAAATACCATTTGATTCAGGAGTCCCACTCCTTGCAATTTACCCAAAGAATACAACCTCTCAGATTCAAAAAGACATATGCACCCCTATGTTTATTGCAGCACTATTTACAATAGCCAAGATATGAAGCAACCTAAGTGTCCATCAGTAGGTGAATGGATAAAGAAGAAGTGGTACATATACACAACAGAATACTATTCAGCCATAAAAAAGAAACAAAACCTACCATTTGCAACAACATGGCTGGAGCTAGAGGATATTATGCTCAGTGAAAACAGCCAGGAGGAGAAAGACAAGTGCCAAATGATTTCCCTCATTTGTAGAGTATAAAAACAAAGCAAAACTGAAGGAACAAAACAGCAGCAGAATCACAGACTCCAAGAACGGACTAGTAGTTACCAAAGGGGAGGGGCGTGGGAGGGCGGTTGGGAGGGAGGGAGATGGGGATTGAGGGGTCACACATGGTGTGAGGGCTCACGGGGAAAACAATTTAGCACAGAGAAGGCAAACAGTGTATTTGTCCCCTCTTATTATACTGATGAACAGTGACTGCAATGAGGTATGGGTGGGGACTTGATAACATGGATAACTGTAGTAACCACATTGTTTTTTCATGTGAAACCTTCATAAGAGTGTATATCAATAATACCTTAATAAAAAAAAAATTTTTAATTTTTTGCTCTGTGAAAGACACTGGTAAGAGAATAATAAAATACACTACAAAGAAAATATTTCCAAATCACTTATGTGGCAAATGACTTGGAGAAGAACTCTTAAAACTCAACCATAAAAAACAAACAACTTAAAATCAAATGAATATTCATATTTGACCTGATTGTTTATAGTTCATAATGCGTGATCAAAACCGAAAGTTTCTGTGATGACTGCCCTTGTACTGTTCACCATGTAAGAACTTATTCACTATGTAAGAATTTGTACACCATGTAAGAACTTGTTCGTTGTGCTTCAGAAGATCCGAGATTGATGAGAATTAGACTTGGGGTGGATTAATGATTGTGTATTGAGTCCCCTGTACAGAATTTTATTGTTGTTAACTGTTAACAACCATTTGATCAATAAATATGAGATGCCCTCTCAAAAAAAGAAAAGAAAAAGAAAACAAACAACTCAGTCAGGAAAAATGGGCAAAAGATTTGACACACGCTTCACCAAAGATACATGGATATCAAATAATCATAAGAATGATGATCAAAATCTTTGGTCATAGGGAAAATGCATATTAAAACCACAATAATAATAACCACTATACACTTATTAGAATGGTACAAATCAAAAGAACTGACAATACTCAAGAGCTGACAAAGTGGAGAGCAACTAGAACTTTCATCATTGCTGATGGGAATGCAAAATGGTACATACAATCCCTTTGGTGAACAGTTTGATAGCTTTTTAAACACTTAAAAAACACACTTACCAAATGACCCAGCAATCATACTCCTAGATTTTTAATACAGAGAAATGAAAATTTATGTTCACAGAAAAATCTGTATGTAAATGTTCACAACAGCTTTATATATAATCATCAAAAACTAGAAACAACCCAATGCCCATCAATGGGAAAAAGGATAAACAAATTTACATTCACACAACAAATATATTCCTCAACAATAAAAAAGAACAATCTAACATTCAAAATGATATACATGAATCTCAAAAACATGCTGAGTGAAAAAAGTCAGATGCAAAAGAGTAGATCATCTAATTTTCCATTTACATGAAATTCAAGAATAAACAAAATGATCTATGATGACAGACATAAGAACAGTGGCTGTTGGAGGTGGGGCTTGGGGTAACTGATTTGAAAGGAGCATAAAGATGATGGATATGTTCAGCATCCTGACATACACTATGATTGCTCAGGTATATACGTCAGAATTCACTGAGCTATACCCTTAAGATGTGTACACTTTACTGTTACTTAAGTACAGTTAGCTTTTTTGCAAGGCATCAATATATTTATTTTATATAAGCATTACTCAGCCATCTCTTTTTGATTTGATAAAAAAATCACTTCCTTAAACCAGACCACATTTTAACTATTTATTTTCTTTACCTGAAGGATATTGTTCCATTCTCTTTTATTTTATTGTTCTGAATAGGAGATGCTTGAAGTGACAGAATTTTATTTCCTGGCAGGGTAATTTGCTTTAGAATGGAAGCTATAAAAACAAAGAAAGAAAGGAGTAGAGTTTAAAAACAGAAAGTAATCACACCACATTAGGAAAACTTTTGGAAACAGCTTTATATATATATATATATATATATATATATATATAAATAACTAAATATATATATATAGAATAATCAACAAAAACTTCAATCTGCCCTAGAACCATGTTTAAATTCAAACATGACAATGAATTTATTCCCTGCATTTATTCTTATTTCATAAGAAATCAAGACCCCACCACCGCCATTTCTTTTTATATCATCTACAAATTACCATTGCATTATAAAAATATTATACAGAAAATGTGAAACATGTTAATAATACATGAATCCTCTAACTTTTCTGTGTAAGACTGATTCCAAACTTGGAGAAAGAACTACATTTTAAAAAGAAATAAAGCTATAACAAATTTCATAAGCTAAAAATTACTTTTTGTACTAGTAGGTTGTTCAATCTGAGAGTAAAACACCATGAGTAGTTGATTCTTTTATTCTAAAACAACATATGCCCCTAAAAAGTGACTATGTATGTCAACAGAATGTAACAAATGATCTTTCAGTCTTTTCTGAGAGGTCCCAACTCAAACTATCTTGTCCTAAGAACAGATTTCTCTTATTTTGAACACAATAAAAAAGAGAGGACAGAACACCAGTGTGCTCCAAACCCAGTTAAATGGAGCAGCACAGGCCAGTATCTACCTGGAGGAAACTGACTGGTAGGTATCACAGTGCTCACTGGCATGTTCTTCTGTCCAGATTTCTGAATGGTCAACGCTGAGGAATGGGAAAGTGTGGTCACTTGTTTTGAAATGCCTTCAGAAGGCTGCTGGACTACCTGAAACAATAAGAACTATCAGTAGAGTCATTCAACTGAACCTGCTTCAGGAAAGAACAAGCTTCAGTTGCAACAATACATCGACTGTGCTCACTAACAGTAAATATACCTTTATCTTACCACAACAAGAAAGGCCACTTAAAATTTAAATCTGTATGTAGCAAAGTTATCTTGTTCAAAAGTGAAAAGTATGACTATCTCATACAATATATAATATTTCTTAAAGTAGAAAGCAAACTTACATTATATATCACCCAATTTAAATCTCCGTATGGATCCTATTTTGGAAATCCTATATGGATTTCTTATCATGGAAAATTTCAAACACATACAGAAGCAGAGGGAACAATAAAATGAAACCACTATACAATTATTATCCAGCTTCCACGATGATTAATTCTTGGCCAATCCTTACCCAACCCACTTCCCTTATCACCCTCAATTATTTTAAAGCAAATCCCAGAAGTATAAGTTTTATCTACAAATATTTCAAAATATATCTCTGAAGGATAAAGACTTCTAATGGGCTGCTTTCTAAAAGTGTCTGGGAAATAACAAAGCTAAAAGGATGCTCCACAGAAACAGTTCAAGAAATCTAGAGGGTGAGGGTTGAGGACAAAGGAAAAAAATTTAAAGTAATATTAAGGACTTATTTTTAGCTTCAAAGAAGAAAAAACAGAATAGCAGAACATTATTTTCTCACTTGAAAGAAGAAAAGCTGTCAGCACGTATTTAAGCCAGTTACTGATAGTGAAACAGTTAACCCCTGACACATTGGAGGGTAGGGGAGTTCGTCTGCCCCACCCCATACAGTTGAAAATCCACCTGTAACTTTTGACTCCCCCAAAACTTAATAGCCCACTGCTGACTGGAAGCCTTACCAATAATATAAACAGTTAACATATATTCTGTATGTAATATATATCATGTGCTATATTCTCACAGTAATGTTAGCTGGAGAAAAAAGTTTCTTCAAATTGTCGCAAATCTCCAAAAAATTTTCTAATGTATATATTGAAAAAGTTCTGCATATAAGTGGACCTATGCAGTTCAAATTCCTGTTGTTCAAGAGTAAGCTGTGTTACAACCCTCAAGATCTCCCAATAAATGATCCTATAGGAACTAACATCCCAGAGAAGTAATAGAAGGTGGAATAATTCAACTGCCATCATTCTATGAGAATATACTATTAACAGAATATATTCTTGAAAATGATATATTTCAGTAAGTTGAGATCTCACTTATTATGAAGTCTTAGGGATCAGATTTAAATAATACAGAGTAATACATACACTTAAAGTGCCATTTATGTATTCAGACTGAAACTCAACACAAACACTCCTAACAATTCTGGCTTATCTCCCTATGGTTCACATTTTGTTCTGTAGTATCTTTTATTGGGTATTCTCTTCAGCATTTTAATTATGAAAGACAATAATAAAATATTATTAGAAATGTGTTTATGAGTTAGTCTTCAAGGCATTTTTGATGGGTGCTCAAAGATGTAACAGCCCGGAGACCTGCCCCTCAGTTGGACAGGGCTCCAGGCTTTCTGGAGACTAGCCAGGAGGGGTGAGGGTGAGAGCTGACCCTACAAGACCCTGGCACTGGTGTGAGGCCTTGGCATAGAACAAGCTGGGGAAGGCAGGCTTTAGTGCCCAGCCTTGGACTGCCAGGCCCACAGGTCAAGTTCATACAGATGGCTGGGGGCAAATGTGCCAGTTTAAAAAATAAAACAAACAAATACATATATGATATTTATATATATCACAAAGTTTGAGCTGGGATTTATCAATCCTGGACCCCCATCATTCCTCATTTCCATGAGGACAGCCCTTGGGACAGCACAGTGCCGTGCACTCCTGCACCCCTGCTGAGTAAAATGACACATAATGAGGGACAAAGTGTAACAGAACTCACTGGTATTCTTTCACAGAAAGAACCATTTCCAACAACAGTATTAGGCGTCTTATGGAGACTGAAATTATTTTAAAGAGGTGGAAATTGGCCCAAAGAAGAGATATTTACTCCTTCTCGGCAAGCAAAAAAAAAGCTATTGTATTTTTTACAACTTAAGTCACTTGAAAGGAAGAATAATAAATAGTACATTCCTCTTGACCTGTCAAGTTCTGATGTTTTATTTGGATGTTAACAAAAATTAACATTCCATTATTTTGTAGAAACTACAGATCTAAAGCTTCACATATTCTCTAGATGACTGGGGTTTTTTTACATTAATTATGATCTGAGATATCTGACAAGGAATTGTTCTTAAATTCCATGAGGAAAGGAAGCAAAGAAACACAAGTATGGATTAAACAAGTAAATAAGAACACTCATCACATTTTGCTTTCTCTGCATTTTAAGATCCTCCTACTCCCTATTCAGAAATATACAGCAATCAAATACTTATCTCTAAATAACTCAAGTAGTACATGCATACAGTTACTAAAATCAAAGGTAGTAGCTCCTTTAATTTCTATATAATACTCAATATGTGATTACTGGCATGTACTCACTGAAGTTGAGTTCTAGAAAATAGAGGGCCCAATGAAACAAAACTGTAGAATTAAAGTCAGGAAACACGTTAGTTGTCGACTATTTCTCAGGAACAGCTAATGTGTGACTTGTGTCACTATTCCTCATCTTCTGGGACAATGGCATGCACCACTAAATGATATCAATTTAGGCACCCACACCCAGCCTCAGAATCCTTAACCCAGAGCTCCAGTAAAGTCCTACAGTGGGAGTTGAAATTTATCTGCCATGCCCAGCCTAGATTAAAACTCAACCTTGATAAACCTCAGAATATGCTGTTTCTTTAATTTAAGGATTAAATTAATACTTCTAAACACTTTAAAATTTGTTCAAATGCATTTTTTGTATTACCAGCCTTTATAGGAATCAGTAAATGTTGCTTCAAATTGAGAACCTATAAATTTCTGTTAAAAGAATTTAAATGTGCTTATTGCATGATTTGATTTATATGAAGTTTAAGAACTAGCAAAACTAATCTGTGGGAAAAAATTATCAAAGGAGTTGTTGCTTCTGGGGAATTGGAGTGGGAACTGATAAGGGGCACAGGGGAACTACAAGGCGATGGTAATAATCTTTATCTTGATACAGGGTTTTAAGTTACACAGAGGTGTGCTCTCTCAAAACTTACCAGATAATGCATTTAAGACTTGTACCTGTCAGGCTGGGTCCCAACTGCGGCTGCAGAGTTTGAGGGGGTCTGGAGGTGGGCGGTGCCCGCGTCCGAGGGGCTCCACCCCAGTGGCGGGGGCGACTTGGCTGCTAATGGAGTTGAGCACGAAGCCCGCCCGCTCCTGCGGCCACGCCCAGAGTAAGGCAAAGGGAATGAAAGAAGCAGATAATCTTGAAAGTGTAAAAGAGGAATGGGTTTGTGAAACTGAATCTGACAACCAACCTCTCAGTGATAATCCACAAATTACAAATATGTGGTTGCTCTTTGAGGCAGCTCTGAAGGCTGGTGCCAAATGCTTGTCTCCCACTGAACAGAAGTAGCAGTAGATGGAAGTAAAGTTATGGGAAATGGATTCACAGTCAACGATGACTTCAGAAGTTATTCTGATGGTGCAAGTCAGCAGTGTCTTAACTCCATCAAAAATGGGGAGTTACCTTTAGAATTACAGGGAATTTTCAATAAAGAGGAGGTGATTGTTAAAGTCAAAGACAAAAAACTAAAGTGTGTATGTCAACAAAGCCTGTGTTCCTGCCCTTCTCGGGACAGGGTCACAGGCCAGGAAGTGCCACACAGAAAATTGTTTCTAAAGTGAAGAGTACTGAAGTTGAGAATAAAATTGTCTATTGTCCCACTAAACAACCTGGAACCCATTATTAATATACAGATCTGCTGAACAACAGGGAAAGGACTGCCCAGAAATTTAACATTTCTCATAGGAAAAGTCACATCAAACGCTTCATCAAAAAATACCCAGGACCTCAAAGAAGTCTTCCCTTTGCCCTGGCGAGAGCTCTTCCTTTTCTTCAATTGCTAGATGAAACACTCACATGGGAAGAAGCAGATGTACAGAATGCTGGGATCATTCAGACTCTGAGGAACTGCTGGACCTTTTAGAGAATTTCCTTAACACTGGTTTTTGATACACTAAGTAGCGAGTTCGCAGAGAAACACTGGTGGTAAGTAGATATGCAAACCAAAATGGTGGAAAGGAAAAGTCAGATTCATTAGACTTTTGGTTTGAGAACGAGTTTAACTCTCTCCTGATGAGATTTTTAAGTACAAATTAAGAAAGTAGGACTGGAAAGTATATTGAATGCACTTTTTCCAAAAGGTACTCAGAAAGAAAACATACTTATTTTCAAATACCAATTATTCAACATAAGATATGTTAAATAGCTGTATCATTTAGAATATTAATATGGTATATTTTAGCAAACATGTTCACAGCATCATTCATTCAAGCATCATTCCCAAACAGCAATGATTATTTAAATGTTAGCTGTTCAGGATTTCTATATAGCAATACAAAAAAAAAATTACACATGGCAGGTTAAAATCATCAACATTATTATCTTATACTTGAGATACATTTGAAAGGCTGGAAGGGACTGTTTTCACCACGGCTATGCTGAAATGTCAGTGTTCTCAATTTGCCTTATCTAATAGCAAGATATACTCAAATATTAATTTGGCAACAGTATCTAAGATGCATTTTTAAGAATAAAATAAGAATTAAGAATAAAATTGTGTAGCTTAATATAATGTCAATATTAATCTGCCTACTCACATTTCTGAATTTTCAAAAACTAATTTTCAAAACTTCTTTTCCCTCTAGGAACCCTAGTTCATCCCTATTTTATTTTCTTTTGAAAATTAGGGATTTGTTCTTAGCTAATGTTTGGGTAAGCCACTCATGTGCCACCACGTAGATTTTAATGCTTGTATTGTCACACTGATAATATTTTTTAAATGTGTCATGTAAGTTATGGTTTTCTATTCAATGCCTCAGACT